TTTTTGGCTAACATTACTGTAATGTATGTAGGATTCTAGTTTTTTTTGTTGTTTTTTTAAGTTATCAACTATGCTTCTATTGTTGTACTTCTGCTGCTCTGACACTTCACTTTCAAATGTACAACATTAAACTTTTTCTGGTTAAACTTCTCAGCAGCTGAAAGCACAGCAGTCTGTTTGCACTGGGCAGCATTCAGGTGGAGTCTCTCTTACTCAGGAGTCAGCAACATTTACAATCAAAATACTAGAGACTATCATTTAGTCTCTCGCTGAATAACCAGAATCTACAGCCAACAGTTCCTAACTTTAGACAGCTTTGGGACAGAACCACAGTCACAGAAGACAACAGTTCATTCAATGTCTCTCTCAGAATGCAGCACCTACTGACACATTAGTTTTAAAGGTCCAGTGTTTAGGATTTAGTGGCATCTAGCGGTGCAGTTGCAGATTGCTTCACCCTCCCCTTCCAAGCATAAAGGAGAAACTACGGTGGCTGCTAAACGTGTTTGGTTTGTTCCTTCTGTGCTACTGTAGATACATGGTGCTTCAACGTAGTTGGGCATCTGTTGATATAAACGGCTGATCCTAAGGTAACAAAAACATAATGATTCTTATTTTCAGAATACTGTATTCCATTTCTGCAAATAGATCCTCCTAACCGTTACACACTGGACCTTTAATTTAAGAATAAATCTCACTGGAGACTGGTGATTGTGGGTGGTGATTCATTCATCATCAGACCACATACACACAAAGAACACCAACCACATTGGGCATTACGTGCACTCAAACACACACACACACACACACACACACACACACACACACACACACACACACACTACCATGGTGCTGCTTAGCATTCCCTTGTCCTCCACACATCATGTTCTCACAAGGCTCGTCGCTTCGTATCTCAGGATACACACACACACACACACACACACACAGGCACATATGAATAGACACGCAGGGTCGGGGAGCAACAGTATTATCTGTCAGTAGGCTGCAATTAAAACACACAGTACAAATCAGCTGAGAGAAGAGATAATCCTTTCAGGACTGTGGAGCCTCTGCAACCACACTGGAGAGACACGGAGAGAGAGAGAACGAAAAGTCTCTTGCACCTTTTTCGTGTGTCTAAAGTCTTGTGTGAATTTTCTCTGACACAGCAGCCTGGAAATGTACTTTGCTTCATCAGAAGCACTGTCTGTTTGTCAGCAGTGAGCAGCACTTCTCCTTATTGCTTGTGCATTTGAATGGAGAAGAGAAGTGGCGTTCACAACTGGACCTACACTAGGTTCCCACAATTTGTTAAATTTTATGTGGAAAATTGTATGCCTTTGAATAGCTGAGGCAAACAGTGCATGTGTTAAAAATGGAGGCTGTGGTTGGAGAAAGAACTAAACTTTTAATTTGAAAGATTACAGAAGAAGAGGACTCCCACCACAACAAAGCGTTGACACGGTTTGTTCAAGAGATGTATCTGTACCACCGACTCCTGTCTAATAACTGTCTGCAAACCGTGTCTCTTTTGTGTAACAGAGAGGCAAGGTTTAAATAAAAATGAGAGTTTCCTCTATTTTGAACTCTGCGATTCACTGCTTTGCTCTTTGCTATTGGTCAACGGCATGAATTCATGTGTCAAAGTTCACCAATGTTGAACCCACCATACATGTGGCAATCATGTGGTCGTTCCAGGTTGCTTGAGCACCAACTGAACAGCACCCACAGGGAAGGCAGATCAAAAAATGCGACCAAAATCCACATTCTTTGGACGGTAGATATCACATGTTCACAACGATATTCAATATCTCACAGTAATTGGTACTATATGCACAACATTTTGAGGTTGAGTTCATATCCTTCTAAGAGCAGCACTCTGTAGAATTGGTAGAAAAAAAACGCAGATGCACACAGGTGCTCCCAATCTGCTGATTGATCCAAGTCTTGCTTGCCAAAAATGTGGCAATTTATGCATTAGCGTGCAGTATGCTTTCAAGTGCTTCTTGTCAGTTAAATGCTTGCAGTCTGCCTGAACCTGTCATTGCCACTTGCAGCTATACTGTAAATAAATAATGGAATAAAAACAAGTAAAACAGCTTTTTAGAATGAAAAGAGCAGTAATAATAAGTGAGGACAATATCTGATCTGAATACCTGATTTTATCACAGACAAATGACTGTGCTGGCACCTGCGCTCTTTTTTTATTTACAGTTTGCTGCATTCACCTCAGTGCTCTAGTGAGACATCAACCATATCAGCACCATCTCCTCCCTCCACCTGCTCCGCTCAGAGCCTCTGCTGGGTTTCTAGCTCAGTCCTACTGAGCTCTCTCTACTCTGCTGTTGCACAACCATAACTTCATTAAATAGCATTTTTATGCTGCAAATTATTTCTTTTCTGAGCCTGGTGATCTTAGACAAATCCCACCGCTAAACTGCAACTGAGCTCTCGCAGAATGCACCTGAAGGCAGTAACAGGTGCTGATTGAGCCGCTGCTATCTATCAAGAGAAAATTACACACGGATTGCTTGAATTTGCAGAATTTCTTTAGGTAACTTTGGTCCAGAGGGATACAAATAAATGGTAAACGTCTTACTAGAATTAAAATATCTACACATATATTTCCTGTTCAAGTCATTCCATTAACATAGAGACCTCCCCAGTGTAAGCATTAATTTGATGAACAAGGAATGAAAACTGACAAAAATTGTGACAATCTTAGCACCTTATACCAGATGCTACATAGTTCATTGAATAAGGAGGATTCATTCCTGGGCCGTGTCATTTAGCTTGGTAATGTATTGCTAAGCAGCAAATATCTGTAGGAAAAGGTTACAATGAATGAGCTGCAGTTACTTCCCACTGCACTGAAGGGTTACAGACATTCTATTCACATCCAATTAGCCTCTCAGCTTTCTGACTCTGCTGCTCTCCAGTTCTGTGTCTATTGCAGAGAAATAAACATTTAGAATATATGTAAGTTTCGTCTGTTTCATGTTAATAGTGTTCACAATTGCTTTGCCGAGTGCTGAAAGTTCTGGCTTGAAGCACAAATTTCCCACCTATATTGAAATTTCAGGATGCTCACAATTCCCTGCTCCTCCCCACAACTGAATTATTAATGAGACATGACTGTGCTTTGTGATATATCCTCCTCTCCAGATGTTTCTGTTGAATGTCAGTCTTACCAATTATACTCTTATTGCCCAACAAGAATACTGGACATACACACATACGGTGGTGTTTTCTTTCTTTTCCTTTTCTGAGAATTCTCTATGAAGAAAACCCAGGTTACTCACAACAGACTTGTCACAGAATGGTCTCTCCAGCCACTCCACCCACCGCTTCCCCTAAATAAGCACACTGCACACAGTGTCGAGCAGGTTCACTGTGACCGGCTGCAGAAACAGAAACATCTGCCCTCTCGTGACAGTTTTACCTCTTTGGTTCATTCTGACAAATAGCTTGAGTCAGACCTGGCTTGTGGCTCTGGCTCAGCACTAACACAAAGTCAAATAAAATGTAGAGAGAGGTCTGGGCATTGGAGATTATTAAGTGGATGATGTACGGTATTATGCTCTCTAAGAGGGCAAAAAAGTGTTTCAAGCACTGCTTATTGATTTGAGAGGGACAGCTACATTTTCTTCTCTTTCGGTTATGGTTTCTGATAGACTCTCTGTTGAGTCCGCGCCATTTCCCTTAGGGCAAAGAAATCTCTTTATCTTCTTTATTTTACTCTTTCAAAGCCCATAATGTCAGTGTGTGTCTCTTTCCAGCAGCTGTTGTCTGTCAGGGGGAATATAAACCTGGCGTGGTAATATCTACCATTTATCTGTCTGTCCCCACTCTGCCCACACTGAATCCCTTAGTGGCATTTGATTCCCCTTAGATGTTTAATAAATCTTATTTGCCCAGGCATGTTGACACAGAATACATTTTAATACAGCATCCGCCTCATCATAGACAAACATTTACCCTCTGACACACACTTTATTAGGCTGTGTTAGCAGCATTGTTACTGGTATGCCAGCGTTTGGCACATTTAAACAGCACCTATGTGAAGTGATCCTGTTGATATTTCCATCAACACAGTGTATGATCAGGATGCCAAATGGACCATAAATTACGTTATGGGCTTTTTTGAGATTTTTTTTTTTAAATAAATAAAATAAATAAATAAAAAACAACAAAGAAAAACTGTACAGATTGTATATCATTCTGTTATAAAATCACTGCCAATGATCTGTTAAGTTTAATTTTGCAGAGAAATTAGACACAAATATGATATTTAAAAATCAAGTCCCTGAGGGCTTATGAAACATCCCACCACAAAACAGAATTAGAAGAAACATCAAGGAATCAAGAAGTTTGTTTTTCTTCTCTGTGAACAACACTGCAATACATTTTGTCTTCAAAACCATTGAGAATAAATAAAATATAAAAAATAAATCACAGAAATGATGAATGATGCAGGCTAAGAATGTATGCAGTCATACTTCAAAGTGCAACCACAGACCGCTGCAGCCTGCGCAGCTCCACTGGAGCAGGTGAGGCTCGAGTGTCTTGCTCAAGGGCAACTGTTTAATAGGCTGAGTTAGACAAAAAAGTGTTTTTCATTTACTTTCCCCACCTACATGCTTCTTACACTGACTCCCACTAACCCCACTGAAGAACGGTGCATGGAAATCCATGCATAAAGCGTATGAAAAGGAATCATATGAGAGAGATATTGCTGTGCGTTTAAGATATCCCCAAATTCAGATGCCTTTCAGGAAGACCGATTTGCATTAGTTCATTCACAACACACATAACTAAAACGTTTTTACAAAGAGAGCAAATATACCTGTAACTCCTACACTTGTTTCTTGCTGCAGAAGTCAAAATAGCTACACTTTTTCAAACATTTGGGATGTAAACAGGTCAGCACTCAGTATCAGATCAACAACCCTACATCTGGTCACTAATGTCACACAAAATAAATATCTCACTGTACTCACCCCCTCTTGTTGCCCCGTACAAGCTGAAAAGTATCAGGGCGACCTGTATAATAATTCCCTGGACTTTTTTACTCCAGAGATCCATGATGAAGTGGAAGGATGCTGCAAAAAAGCCCGCCAGTTAAAGGAGGGAGATAGTCTCCCTCTCCTCTCCTCTTTACTCCACTCCTCCTCCACACTCTCACACTTTCCAGATCCCTGATGAATTCTGCACTTCTGTGTCCGCAGCGCTCCACAATATCCGCCTGGCTCCAAGGCGATGACAGCAAGAGGCAAGAGGCTACTTTCTGTTCTGCTGCACTCTGCAGAGTGAGGGGAAGGAACAGAGAGAGGGAGAAAGACACAGGGAGACAGAGAGAGAGAGAGAGAGAGACAGAGAGAGAGAGAGAGAGAGAGAGAGAGCTTTCACTACTGTTACAGCTCCAGTGAAAGGTACTTTAGTCATTAAAAGGACTTGAAGACCCTGTGCAAAAACCCACTGCAGGCTACACTATTCTGCTCCGACAATGTTTGAGAAAGAGCCATCTCAGGTCCCATTAGGCTCCGGGCTGCTGCTCACAGTCTGTTTGTCATCATGTAATGCAGCAGTTCAGGTCCGGTGGTCACGAAGGGGATCCCCAGCACAGTGAGTCACTGCAAATAAAATGAAAGCATCCCACAGAGACTAATCTAATTATATGTTTTATTCTTCTTATCTCATACATTAAATTGCAGATTTAGATGATTTTAACCCCCTCTGGGAGAGACATCTAGTGAGACTGGTTATGTTTTTTTTTCTTTTCTTTTTCTTTATTTAAACAAGTAAAACTGATAGAAACCTCCTTTCCAAGACATGGCCAAAAAGCAGAAAAAACTGTAATGTGACAATAAATACAATACATAAAAAACAAACAGGCTAAGACAATGTCAATGCACATAAACAATATGCAGTTAAGATGAGCATACAATTTCAAAAACCATCCAAAACAAATTGGAAACAAAAACATTCACAGAAAGTGCTTTTTTCAACTACTTTAAAATTGACTTGAACCATGCTTTTAGGTTCTTCTGTACCTTGTTTCAAGTTGAAAGTGCAGTGTATTGTTGGTGCAAAGGAGGAAGTCAGGTGACTGACTATTGTTTGTTTCCTGTTTACAACCAACTAGCCGCATCATTCCCTAACCTTAACCAAGTGGGGACAAAGGTCTCCTAATCTTCACAAATTTGTCATTTCAACTCAAACCAAGATCTTTTACTGACAGTCGTTTTTGTGCCTAAATCCAACCAAAACCTTAACAATAAAACACATTTATTTTTCCACAGTGATTTGTAATAGTTTTGGAAGAAACAGAGAAATGATAGGGGGCCGATAGGGGCATCAGATCCAAAAATGCCATCCAAAAATGCTTCTATGGGTCGTTTCTGGAAGGTCTGGACAATGATTTTGTAATTTAGTCTTGAGGACTTTAACTTAAACTTTTAAGGTCAGTGAAACAGTAACTTAACTCCGTCCTTATGTTGGGAACCAACATCTGAACATCATGAGAGCACAGGCCATACTGGTTTTGATTTCAAATCGGTGAGGAAGACCACAGCCCAAGGAAGGGAGTTGGGTTTTACCTTCATTACATTAATGTTTGAGAACTGTGAATGTTATGTAACATATAACTAAAGCTACAGTTGCATTATGTTCTTACTGGAACTGGTCAAATAAAGCAGCGTGGTCAGTACCTGCCTACAGCGTTAAAATATGACACTGTTAGAATTTAGCAACAATTAATAAGCAACATCCGGTTAGTCTTTCAAAATAAAGCTTGCGTGGTTAACGTTGTGAAACAGTCCCAGTTTGGTTAGGTTTAAGCACTACTACTAAACTACTTAGTTAGGATTAAGAAAAGATTGTACGTGACATAACTATCATACAAAAATCAATTGTTACTTTTGTTTTCATACAGCACTGACACATTGACACTGACACATTTACAGAATTGTTATTTGTCATGATAAATAAAGAAATGAAATAGAAGTCAACATGACTTCTGGGCATTTATGTCCAAATTGTTTAGTTATTTTTTGTTACTGATAAGGATGTAGTTGTATTTGGGAGCATATATCTAGACTCCCAGTCAGATATAAACATATACAAATAATCAAAGTAAAGCATGAAATAAGAAATAAAGTAAAACGTGAAAACACTAATTAAGCCTAGAATCATATTACATATTAAATTAAAACAAGGGAAATCACTGAAGAAAGTTTGTATTTTTAGATAGAGAACATTTCAGAAAGCTGCTTTTTTTCCAAACCTTCCAGTTTTTGTGATTAAACACAAAGCCATGGAAAAGAGGACTGATGATATGTATCCTTTTCAAAAGATAGATGTTTTTTTCTACATCTGACACAATCACTCCGCAGTCATTTGAAAACCACCACACAATGAAAAGGTGAGAGACGTAATTTCTTGCCTACATTGGGTTTTTTCACACAAATACTGTGTAAATATCTCAGTACTGCACTGTGAAGAAAGAGATTATGCTGCAGTTTCTATTAGTATTATCACAGTTAATATTACTATTCCTGAATCACACCACTGTGCTGGTTTTATCTGCCATTATGACTTACCATACAGCCACACAGGGATGTAAGAGAGGCTTTTCAGGAGCAGAGAGGCGGGCGGCATGTGAATGAGGCAGCCTTGTGTGTGAAGAGGGAGCAGTGATATTGATTAATGCTGCCAGCGTCATACTGGAACTATAGGTTTTGTTTTAAACATCTTAGAAAGAGAGAAACAGACATGAGAAGCAAAAATTAGTATTTTGTGCATTCCACAAAACAGAGAAAAAGTGACACTGAACATACAGTGTGCTAATCATGTCTTTCATCTCTGGGTTGTGCGCCTACAGTTGGATGGATTGTTAACATTTCAAAAATGTTTCTATTCAGTAAACTGTGTCTAAGTGATAAGAAGATTATCAGTGCGACTGTAGATTAATAACCAAGCTGACTGTGAATATATGCAGTGGAAAACATTTACTCAGCATTTGTAAATAATTCTGTTTGTTTCTAATTCACTGAATAAATACTAATGTGGAACTGAAACCATCCAGCGGACTCAGACTTCAGTGTTTTATGTGATTCTGGCTATCTAAGACTAACATCCATAGCAGTTTAACCTTTTTCCGTTCTAGTGGCATGGCTATATGGATGTCATTGTCAGTGTGTCTGCTGGTAAGTCGGTTGGTTCACCACTTTGTTCCAAAATGAAATGTCTCGAAAACTGTTGGATGAATTACCATGAAATTTGGTATCAACATTCATGGTCCCCAGTGGATGATTTGAAAAAATTATGAACCCTTGACCTTCATTTAGCAACATGATTAGGTCAAAGTTTGTCCAGTTTTAGCATGGTTAACACTGTAAACATCATACTTGATTAACAAATTTCCTGTGAGGGACAATAAAGTATATTATTATTAATAAAATCAGTATGTTAGCATTGTCATTGTGAGCATGTTAGCATGCTAATGTTTGCATTTAGTTCCACACACCACTGTGCCTAAAGACAGCTTCACATAGGAAGCACAGAGGCTGCAAACAATTGTTTAATTTGTGCATTTGATAGAATGATGCTTGGTGACAGACGTGCTAGTAATACAGTAGTATATATAATAGTCTCTCCATATTAAATAATACAAGCATATTTAAACAGTGACACATTTACAGCTGACAAGCAATTTTGTTTTATATATTACTGCAACCAAACACAACTTAGCTCAAAGTTTTGGAGCTACTGTCATAGTCACAAAAGAGTCCCAGTAACATCCTGATCTGGAGGCACTGATATAAAGACTTTTTGAGGAGGTCTAAGTTCAGTTTTCAGACAATGTGGATTTTAAATACACAACATAATTCAGCAGGAGTTGGATTCTTACTGTAAATTAATTTTTGAATTGAATTCAATCGTTGACAACTGAAAGCTGATTAAATCATTTTGCTGGTTTTAAATGAGACAACTGACTTTGCATTGACATTGCAGGGTTTTTGGGCAAATTGCTTGTTTTGCTTAGACTTTGTCACTTTGATTTGCAGCTGTATTTGAGCCCCTCCACAGCCTCCTGCCAGGCCTCGTTTTGTATAACTCATTTTTATTTTGCATACCAAATGAAGTCGGCCAATGACTGATGCACTCACACTCTACTTTATATTCACAACACCTGCTGCAGGCTGTGTACGGATTTTGGCTTTGGCCAGCAAGCTGGTCGGCCAAAGCTGAAAAGACTCTTAGAGCTTGTTTAAGAGGTGAGCAGGGAGGTTTTAAACTTGATAAAAGTAGGAAAAAATAAACAAGGAGAGTTTGCTCTCTATCCACCGTAAATGTGGAAGCATTTTGTGGGTGATAAAGAGTACAAACTGTTAAGAAAGAAACTGAACATTTATTTTATGTCATGTAATCCTATGCAAGTCTTTGATTTGTGACAGCAGCAGTCATTATGGGGTCAGGTTGAATGTGTATTTACTAGAGCTCAGTGCAACACAGATGTCCAATATGAAAGAGGTGCACCTGTAATTTAGTAGTAAAGCGGTGCGAGGTATAAGCCTGTGTACACAAAAAAGGACTCAAATCAACTACAGTGTCCAAGAAGCATTTCCATAAGAAAAATCCACTGAGTTTAAAATATGCTGCATGTACATACTTGGAATGTTGAACTGAAGTTTAAGATTACACTTTGTAGAAACCTGATGGAATATGAAGAAGTTGTAATAAGTTCACTTTAAGATTCTGGAGTCAGTTTTGGAAGAATTAATCAACTATGTCACATTTTTTGTCTCCCTATAGGCTCATGGGTAGCGTAGTATTTAGAGCTATTCTTTATTTTCTTTCTTCATACCAAATCAATGTAAAAACATGATTTTTCAGTGACAAAGTTTAAATAATGAAAACTCATGACCATAAACCCATGATATCATTACATCATACTGGGGAACTCCCAGTGATAACTTGCATGATATCAGAAAAAATAAAAATAAAACGCTGGGGAAAGGTGATATAGAGTGCTTAAAATATATTTCTGCTAAACTAGTGGGCAACCTATAGTGCTGCAGTCCTGCAACAACTTTTACATTCATCTGCTATTTTTTTTCATGGCGATACAGAGACAGGTCAATATTTCTTTGTCACTGTTACAAAAAACGAGATGCTAATGCTCAGTCCATGGCCATCATGAATATGAATGAAAGATTATCCTCGAACATGAAGACTGACTTGTTTACGAGGGATTTCAGCACAGCACTTGCCTTGTTTATTGGGCCGCC